AAAGAAGATATTCTGAACCATTTAGGAAATCATATGACTGTGTAGGAACATAATAAAACCTGTGGATTCTCTTCTTAGGAAAGTGAACATATATACATAATTGTGCATACAAAGGGACTCAATTCTTCTTTTTTAATATGTTTTTATTGATTCCATGGAGAGGGCGAGAGATAGAAACATCAATGATGAGAAAGAATCACTTATCGGCTGTCTGGTACACACCCCCTTCTGGATATTCTGCAGCCTGTACATTAAAAATCCCCATCGGAGAAAAAAATTATGATTTTAATGGGAAAAGAGATATTCAAATAATTATAATATCTCATCTTCAGTGGAGTAATAAGAATTTAAAATATTAAATCATATAGAAGTGGTCTCCAACCAATGTACATATTTCATTTCAAAAGCTAATTTGTACATTATACTTAGAGTTATTGCGTATGCTTTCTCATAAAAATGTTAGTTGGAGACCATTAAACTGTAAGTCTCTTAAGAGTAGCTGCTCTTTTTGTATGTGTAAGACCTAGCTAAATAACAGTACGTGTTAGTGCGAGGTGACCCTTTATAAAATGTATTTTACTCAATAATATATTTGAATACAAATGCACTAAGAAAACAGGAAAAAAGTGCTGAGACAATGACAATGATCAAATAAACTACAAAGACAAAAAAAGGAAAGAATAAAGAATAGCATGTTAAATTGTCTGTTGCCGGATACAGGTTTAATTAGAAGAGAATGTAATGGTAAATACATATACAGTATTTCTAGATAGTCTCATATGAACTTATTTGAACTTTTTGTTGTGTTAAATTTCACTTCAAAATAGGCATCTCCTCTCTTTAGCCATGAATGAGGTCATTTTGGACCCTAATGATCTGTATACTGACTTGCAAGGTCAAAAGGGATCACATGTTTTGCCTGTAGTGACAGGAAAAGAGTTAAAAGACGTGGGCAGTGGGGGGGGGGGGAGAGGAGGACAGTGTTCAAAGAGGTTGTAAATAATGAAAAAGATGTTTATTTGTTACATCTACATCTTATAATGAAATGTGTTCAAGTCAGAATAAAGTAAGCTAGTGTGAACATGGTGAGTGGAGGGTATGGGAACTCCACTGACAAAAAAATAAGGTCAGGGGTGGAGATAAAATTTTGATTATGTTTCTCGATCACTGTACTAAAAGAGGTGGGAAAACTACGTTTTGGTGCCATAGATATAAAAAACAAATTGCAACACAAAAATAAACTCAAAATGGATAAAGGACTTAAACGTACGACAGGAAACCATAAAAATTTTAGAAGAATCCAAAGGCAACAAAATCTCAGACATATGCCGAAGCAATTTCTTCACTGATACAGCTCCTAGGGCACTTGAAACTAAAGAGAAAATGAACAAATGGGACTACATCAAAATAAAAAGCTTCTGCACAGCAAAAGAAACCATGAACAAAACAATGAGAAAACCCACTGTGTGGGAAAACATATTTGCCAATGTCATATCTGATCAGGGCCTAATCTCCAAAATTTATAGGGAACTCATACAACTTAACAAAAGGAAGATAAACAATCCAATCAAAAAATGGGCAAAGGACCTAAATAGACACCTTTCAAAAGAGGACATTCAGAAAGCCAAGAGACATATGAAAACATGCTCAAAGTCACTAATCATCCAAGAGATGCAAATCAAAACAACAATGAGGTACCATCTCACACCTGTCAGACTGGCTATCATCAACAAATCAACAAAGGACAAGTGCTGGAGAGGATGTGGAGAAAAAGGAACACTTGTGCACTGCTGGTGGGAATGCAGACTGGTGCAGCCACTATGGAAGACAGTATGGAGTTTCCTTAAAAAACTGAAAATGGAACTCCCATTTGACCCTGTGATCCCACTTCTAGGAATATATCCCAAGAAACCAGAAACACCAATCAGAAGGGATATATGCACCCCCATGTTCATAGCAGCACAATTCACCATAGCTAAGATCTGGAAACAGCCTAAGTGCCCATCAGTAGATGAATGGATTAGAAAACTGTGGTACATCTACACGATGGAATACTATGCTGCTCTAAAAAGGAAGGAACTCTTACCATTTGCAACGTCATGGATGGAACTGGAGAGCATTATGCTAAGTGAAATAAGCCAGTCAATGAAGGAAAAATACCACATGATCTCACTCATTCATGGATAATAGAGACCATTATAAACTTTTGAACAATAATAGATACAGAGGCAGAGCTGCCTCAAACAGATTGTCAAACTGCAGCAGGAAGGCCGGGGAGGATTGGGGGGCAGGAGGTAGGGGGGTAAGAGATCAACTAAAGGACTTGTATGCATGCATATAAGCATAACCAGTGGACATAAGACACTGGGGGATAGGGGAGGCCAGGGGACTGTCTAGGGCGGGGGGATAAAATGGACACATATGTAATACCCTTTGTAATACTTTAAGCAATAAAAAAAAAACAAAACAAAACAACAAAAAAAACAAATTGCACACTTTTATTTGAGGAATGTTTAACTTGGATGAAAACCAGATAAAGGCATAAGTAATACACAGAATTCAACTGGATATCTACACATGTAAAAGCCTAAGCGACCATTACGCCCAGTTGACCAAACAACCTGTCGACTGGTCGCTATGATGATGCACTGACCACCAGGGGGAAGACACTCAATGCAGGAGCTGCTCCCCTGGTGGTCAGTGTGCTCCCACAGCCAACCTCCTGCAGTCCCTCCCCCTGGCTAGCCCCGATCAATCACCGGCCAGGCTGAGGGACCCCACCCGTGCTTGAATTCATGCACCCGGCCTCTAGTCTTTTAATATCTACAGGCTGTGGCCCTACCACATAGGATCAATGAATGACCTGGCCTTGTCTTCAGAACAGGACTTGAAGACATATAATATGTAGCCAAAGCAATGAAGGAGTGAGCTACAATTTCCCATCTATAATAATAAAAGCATAATATGCTAATTAGACTGGACGTCCTTCTGGACGTCCTTCCTTCTGGACATAGCTGCAGAGGGTAGGGGACGAGGCATAGGCGGCAGAGGACCCTGGACGCAGTGGCGGCGAGTGGGGGCCACGGTGGCAGTGGGCGGGGACATGGGCCAAGGCCCTTGCACAAATTTTGTGCACCGGGCCTCTAGTATATTATATTAGGTAAAGGCAAGACTTACACCAAGAGGCATGGACAACATGCCAACCCCCTCTTTTAAAAATGTTTGGCATTTGACTCCCTGATAGGTGACAATCAAAAGAGGATCAGCCGCCAATAAACATTCTCAGCCAACTGAGAAGGTAATTAATTGTCTCCCTAAAACCGTCTTTTGCCTGGACAGATTCAGAATTAGGTATAGTGATGAACGAAATCAACATATTATAGATATATTGAGTAATTGACTTAGACTTTTCACTTGAAACTGGACTCTTACTAACAGTTCATCAACAGTATCAGAACATTGAACAGAAATAAAGATTCAACACATTGAAATGTTTAATAAACTAGGTTTATGCAAAATTACCTCAATACTCAGGAAGGTTTTATTAGTTGACAAAGGAACAGAAAACCCAATAAAGTATATTAAACTTAAATGCAGTTGAAAAGTTTTAGGAGACACAATTTAGTTGCAAAGCCTGATTAGAAGTAAATTTTAAATTCTGCTAAATGTATAAAATAATTTATAATTTAAATAATAACCAATTCTAGAGTATGAAACCATGAGATGTAAAATCTCGAAATCTTACCATAAAATTTCAAGGAACTAAAAAACCAGTTACTGATTCTTTATGAGTAACAACCTCCATGAATCTTTTATAATCAGCATAGAGATAATAATATTTCAAAGATTTACGGAAGTATTTAAAAGTAATGATCCTAAAAAAAGATCTGCAGGAGCAGATTAAGTTGGAGCTCATACTACGTGGACTTCTACTTCCCAAAGTAGCGTAACTGGATAAAACAGAAAGAGGCCATTCTGCCTTAGGTTTTCCAACTGAAACTGCCACCTGCATTGCTCCTGGGATTAAAACGGAAAGGACTAAAGAAAGATACATCTTCTACCGGACTGTGAAAAAGTCTCGAGTTAGAAGACAGCTAATTAGAAAAATATAATAATTGTGCCATATGAAGTATGAGCATATTTGAATTGTGACTCCAGGAAACTATGGCTTAAAAACTATTAAAATAAATAATGTTAAATGCTTACATACTCTTTTTAAATATTTATACATGAATATGATCACATATCAATGTCTTGTAACAAAATTTTAAGTCCTGCAAGTCCTAACAGTACTGATCTTTCAAGTTTTCACATATACACTCTATGTGACTTAAGCCAACGTGACATGAGTCTTTTAGTTCTTTTAGATCAGCGGTTCTCAACCTGTGGGCCGCGACCCCTTTGGGGTCGAATGACCCTTTCACAGGGGTGGCCTAAGACCATCAGAAAACACATATATAATTACACGTTGTTTTTGTGATTAATCACTGTGCTTTAATTATGTTCAATTTGTAACAATGAAATTAGGGGTCACCACACCATGAGGAACTGTCTTAAAGGGTCGTGGCATTAGGAAGGTTGAGAACCACTGTTTTAGATCATATTCTTAAAGGTAGGCAGTTATGGACTTGAAGAAAATCCATTTGAGTTTCTTTTCAATCTGCAATTATCATATCTTTGCATTATTTCCCCTCCCTCCCTTCCCATCCCATGTTCTATACCATGGAACTCAAAATTAGACCCTAATATGTATGTTCTGAATTCACTTTCCTCTTAATAAAACATAGGCCTATAAGCAATCATAGGTGACTTTAAAACTCTGTCAATAACTCTATCTTTCAAATTCTAAGTTCTAGAATTCTAACAAACTAGAATGGAGCTTAAGTTGTCTCCACCCACTTCTCACTACATTATGCCCTCCGTTTCCCCACCCCCAGATGAAGGTTAGGTTGATAAATGGATTTTGGAGGTGAAATAAAGCCAGACATCAAATAACTTACTTGAAATCCATCTCTTACCTTCTGTACTTAACCCTGGACTTGATGTGAACTTGGCTACATCAACAATTTTTACAGCAAATTGTTGCCCAGTTTCTCTGTTGATACATCGTCGTACAACACTGAAGGGACCCCTGGAAAAAAAAAGCCAAGTTTAATTCGTTGATTTTCTTAAGTTCTATTTCCCTTCAAATCCTACTGACATTTCATTGTCTACTACAGCCATAGTTTTCAAAATCAAATTTAAGTGATGCAATTTTATGGTTTTTTTTAAGTGATGTAATTTTGAACATATGCTTGTATAATTCATGAGATAAGGAATTCATAATTTAAAGTTATTAAACCAGAAAAACAGAAAACAAATTTGCATTCCAAAATCTCTAAATAGCATTCTTATGTTCAAGGCGAATAATCTTTGTAATATTCTCTCTATATTCCCAACATCTTAAGCAAAATAAGAAATAGATTACTGGCAATATACCTAGCTTTTACATTTTGAACCAGAAACTTGTCATTCTTGACCCCTTCCTCTCACCCACAACTGTTCTAATCTTCACTAACAATTCCTATTGAGTTTATTCCAAATATCTCCGAATCCTGTCCACTCCTCCCCGTGTCTCATACCGCAATCTAAGCTACTACCATTTTCTACCAGAAATACTTAAAAACTTTTCCCAGTCATCCCTGCAGTGAGGTTTAAAACTGAAAATCTGATATGTTTCTGCTTAAAGTCCCACAGAGAGAAGGGATACGCAGTACAAATATTTAGTCGAGAACCAAAACACAGAAATAATTCCTAAGTAAAAGAAAAGAAAATACACCCTAATAAAACCTGGGCAAAACACTGGAACAGGCACTTCACAAAAACAAAGCCGTGCCATGATTTGGTCGCCAACAGCATCTCCGGTCTCACCTGGAACCAGAGAGAACTCCTTCATCTTTCTCCAACTTCAAATTGGCATGGTTCTCAACTGCCATAGGGAAGGCGGGAATTTCTACCAGCAGAGTGCCACTGGCCCAATCATTTGCCTACCCAGTCCTCTCAATCTAAATGGGTGGCTTTCAGAACAGGTTGATTGATGAAATACCAATGCCCAGGCCCAGGCACTAAAACACACACACACATGCACATACACAGTTCCTTGTGATTAGTAGTTATCCAGTAAGTATCTGAACTACAGATAATCCAAAGAGAAGATTTCTACATTCTTGAATCAATTACTGAATAATACCAAATGCAACAGCAATCCTATATAATAAAAGCGTAACATGCAAATCGACAAGACGGTGGAATGACCGGTTGCTATGAAACTCACTGACCACCAGGGGGAAGATACTCAATGCAGGAGCTGCCCCCAGCCCGCAAGCCCTGATTGCCTGATCGGGGCCTGCTGGCCAACCTCTCAGTCCCTCCCTTCGGCCACAGGCTCCAATCACCCAATGGGGAACAGGGAACCGGGAACCAGGGGTGGGTGGCAGCGAATGTGGGCGGCACCAGGCCAAAGCGAGTGCGAGCGGGGCCCTGATCACCCCGCTAGTTGCACCATACACAGAGACCGGTTGCCCCCCACACAGGGCCTTGGCCTAGGGACCCTATCCATGCACAAATTTCGTGCACTGGGCCTCTAGTATACTATAGTAGGCTAGAATGGTTTAGGTCAGTGGTCGGCAAACTGCGGCTCGCGAGCCACATGTGGCTCTTTGGCCCCTTGAGTGTGGCTCTTCCACAAAATACTGACTTCTGTGCATGGGCCACGAAGTTTCAATCGCACTGTACGTGCGTACCCGCACGTGGTATTTTGTGGAAGAGCCACACTCAAGGGGCCAAAGAGCCGCATGTGGCTCGCGAGCCACAGTTTGCCGACCACTGGTTTAGGTCATTAAATACACTTACATGCATATGTGTGTATTTTTCACCTCCTCAGAAAAAAAACACACCAAAAGAGAACAAAACAAAACACCCTCATTGGCTTTGACAGGTAAAAACAGTACACCTGCCCAGCTGGTGTGGCTCAGTGGTTGAGCATCGACCCTTAAACCAAGAGGTCACTGATTTGACTCCCAGTCCGGACACATGTCCGGGTTGCAGTCTCAATCCCCAGTAGGGGTTGTGCGGGAGGCAGCCAATCAGTGATGTTTCTCTCTCACCATGGATGTTTCTACCTCTCTATCCTTCTCCCTTCCACGCTCTCTCGCAAATCAATAAAAGCATATTAAAAAGCAGTACACCTGGATGCATGTGGTTAATCAGCAGAAAGAGAAGGTTCTTCATTTACTCTTGTGGTACTGCTTGCCTTCAAGTACAGTGGGGCCTTGACTTACGAGTGTCCCGACGAACGAGTTTTTTGAGATACCAGCTGTCTCTCGGCCGATTTTTTGCATTGAGTTGATAGAGTAATTTGAGTTAACGAGCTCCTTAACGAGCTCAGTCTCGGAATGAATTGAACTCATAAGTCAAGGCCCCACTGTATAAGTTGGTATTTTTTTCTTTCACTTAGAGGACAAGCAAAAGAATACAGCCTAACGCAGACTTAAACATTTCTCTGGGATCATATGCATTCGCGGATTTCATCACGGCATCATCAGGACATCAACTACACTGCAGCTTCAAATTACTCTCCTGAAACAACCTCACAAAGCTAAACCAGAAAGAAAAGAATGATAATAACACACCTCTTAGAGCTCTGTAGGAAAAGGCCCCTTTCCATAATCATGCAAAACGATTCAAAAATTTTGCTTTGTGAGAAGACAATGTAACAAAGTGAGGCAGGACTCCCACAAACATTTCCATTCTCAATCTGGATGTCTTACTTGTGACCACTTATCCTGACAAGAGCAAGCAATGTTAGGAAAATCTTAACGTAATTGGTCTTCGTCCACACATAAACCCTTGGGATTCTCTGAACCTGGGGCCCTTCGGTCTGCTGTCCGCTGCTCTATCCACTGAGCAAAACTGGCTAGGGCGTGCTTCAATTCTTTAGGCTAATTTTATAATGTGAGGACTGTCTTTAGCTTGGGGGGGGGGGGTCTCAGCCCAGCCTGCGCCTACTCACAGTCCAGGAGCCCTCAGGGGATATCCTATTGACGGCTTAGGCCTGCTCGCTCCCCTCTGTCCACTGGCACGCACCTTGGCTGGCCTGGCACTGCCTGCACGCTGGCCCTGCCTCCCTGCTGAATAGTGTTCTGCCGTTCGGTCGATTTGCATATCATGTTTTTATTATCTAGAACAGGGGTGGGCAAACATTTTGACTCGAGGGCCACAAAGGGTTCTTAAACTGGACCGGAGGGCCGGAACAAAAGCATGGATGGAGTGTTTGTGTGAACTAATATAAATTCAAAGTAAACATCATTACATAAAAGGGTAAAGTCTTTTTTTTCAATAGTTTTATTCACGGCTGGTCTGGACTAGCAGTGGGTGCACAGCCCTGCCTTCGGGTTCCTTGTCCACACCTCTCTGCTAGTGAAGACAACAGGCGGCTTCCCCCAAACCTCCTCCTCAGAGCTACACTCTAGAGAGGGTAAAACCTTAGGCCTTAGAACGGGGGACACAGGCAGTCTCTGGAAAGCAACGGGCTTATGTGCTCACACACCAACTCAATGCAGACAGCCCCAGCCCCTTCCCCCTTAATAGGATGTTAGAAGCTAGATCTTTATCCTTCAGAGTAAAGATAATGACATGAAGTTGTCCAAACCACTGAACCAGCTCACCCCTCTCTTGAAACCCTAAGTCGCCAAGTTCTGCCTGCAAGTTCAGAGCTCTCAATCCGCTTGCAGCCTCTACTGCAGCCTCCCTGCCTGGGCACCACTGATGCCCTGTGCATTGTAGGATGCTTAACGGTATCCTCGGCCTCTACCTGCTAGATGCCGACAGCATCCCCTCAACCAGTTTTCACAACCAAAAATGTCTCCAGACATTGTCAAATGTCCCCAGGAGGGGGCGGGGGGGGGGGGCTGCCCCAAGTGAACAGCTGCTCTGTTCCTAATCATGAGCAGACAAGCAAACTCCCAAGACATCGGACGAGTCTCTAATTTGGAAGATAGAGATGGAAACAGACTCAATAAGAAGCAAACTTCGAACTAACATTCCTATCCCCAGAAAGATGTTATAACCAAGAGACAAAAACAGAACTTGCAGCAAACACCAAGGGGCTCTTGAAAAATAAACACACGAAGACATTTCAAACTCAACAGAAGGGCTGGCTGATCCAGCTGAGGGCATTTTCCAGAAAGTAGAGCAAAAAGAACAAAGAATATGGAGGGAAGGAACTCGAAGGAATAATCCAACAAAATTTCCCACCACTGAGCACTCAGCAGAATAGGTACCAGGCCCACGTGCACACACGCTGCTGTGAAGTTTAACAGAAGTGTGGCCAGGAGGACTTCCAGGTCCCCGAAGTGGGGGTGAGGTGCTCTGAGGGGGTGAGGTGCTCCGTGGGGGTGAGGTGCTCTGAGGGGATGAGGTGCTCCGTGGGGGCGGGGAGGGACCAGAATAGTGGGACAGCTCTCCCTGGCAACACTAGAAGCAGGAAGACAACAGGGCAATCCTTCTGAAACCATGAAGGAAAATGATTTCTGACCTTTAATTCTATATCCAGCAGGAAACTCAACCGTCATAAAGACACTCTTAGGTATTAAAGAGCTCAAATTCCTTGCGATGCGTAGCTTCTGCAGAAGGAATGGTAGACTGTTTGCCAAAACAGGAAAGGACACCAGCGAAGAGGATGACGCCAAGGGATAGCAAGCAGGCGATCCGACACAGGAGACACATAGAGGGAAGGCCGGGAGCACAAGCAGGGAGACCTCAGGCTGAAGGTCACATGCCCTCGTGGATGTCCACCACCACTGATCACCTTCTCAGCCTGACGCCAGGGCCCAGGAAGCCAGGGCAGGTTCTTGGGGTTGCTTTTGCTGACCAGGAGCTGATCACATGCCTGCTCTTCTCTGCCGACTGATCAGCGGAGCACTCCCACCCACTCCACAGAAATGCTCCCGCCCCGAGCCGTAAGCAGAAGATGCAGAGCAGCCCGGGCCCGGAGCGCATCCCTGCCGACCCTCAGTTCCCAGCCCCGCACTACAGCGCCAACATCCTGCCTGTGAGGAGCCCAGTAATTCACTCGGGGCTTCCCAGCTGGCT